CCGGTGCTGCTGCTTGAATCCTGGTCTGACTCCCGAGGGCGGAGGGGAGCGCGGCTTCGGGGAGCCGGGGTCGTGTGTTTTCTGCTTTGGTAAGGTACGAGTTTCATCTGGAAATTAAAAATCAATATTCACTTTTCTTTTAAGGACTTGGCCATGTACATAAATGAAGTAAAGAGGGACAAAGAGACTTTAAAGAAAATAAGTGAATTTCAGAGCTCTATAGAAAATCTGGTAAGTTGGAAAATCCTCTCACTCCCTACTTTAATTTGATTATTATTAACATACATGCTTTTTCTGTGCAATTACTACTGAATCTGAATCTGCTACCCAAGAAAGATCCCTGTGTGTTTGGACACTCCCTGAGCACCGACTGTTTTTGCTGACAGTCCAGCAGTGGTTGCTACATTACAAAACCCATTTGGCCGTGATGGAGGGTGGCTTTTGTGCGTGGTGTTACGCTGAAATTGCTTCTCCAACTTTTTCTCATGTTATTAGTGTAGGGGGGACCCAAGAATTCCCCAAATCTGCTATTTAATTTCCTGTCTGCTATTTAAAGCGGGTTTTCTTTTGCTGTTAAGAGGACAGAGAGGTTAACTGAATGTTCTTGCACTCGAAAGTGTCCCAAGGCCCGTTTGGAGGAGAAGGGCACATGTAATATGCACCTAATCCCCAAAATCTCAACCAGATATTTTAAGAAGAATCTCATCCTCCAAACTCCAGACCAATCAAACGCTTGGTCCCATTACTGTGCATCAGCTCACCCTGTGCAACCCATCACTCACTTTAGCCCCGAAGAATCCCATTAGTTTAATATTCAGTGGCAGAGCTTCAAGCTAACGAGCTTTTTCCCACATTTGCCGGAGGGTGGGAGGGGAGGGCTGGTCAGCTGCGGGCGCAGCTGCTCTGCTGTCACGCTTTACGCTGGGGTAATGCAATTTGGGGGCTGACACCTGAGATGCTTCAAAAGGGCTGATGGAGGGAGATGCCGGGGGCTGCCCAACCCGAGGGCTTCCTGGAGGGGTCCTGGGTTTGGGGAGCTTTAAGCCTTGACTTCATTTGAAAACAATGAACTTGTAATTGATGGTTATTTAACAGACAGAGACAAAATCCTTCATTTTCAAGAGAAACCTGCAAAAATTCTCCGGTGGGATACGGCTCACAGGTTTCGATTGAAGCAGTCATGACAATCCTGATCTGTGCGAACAATCAGACATCGTGCTCCATAAAAACGGGAATGTGAATGGGGGCATTAAGCAGCCACTTCTCCTCCTTGCAGCAGCCAGAGAGCAAATCTGACACACGAGAGATGAGGTGTTAGCAAAGCAGTCGCTCCTGTCTGCAGGTCAATCCCACGCACATTCTGCTCCGTGTTCCCTTTCGTTGCACTGGGCGGGACGTTGTGGAGTGGTTGGTGTTATGTATACAGAGCCCACATGGCACCACAATGAAATAATTATGGACTATACACACAGCTGTGTAAAATATTTATTTTCCTGACCAGTGGTGATGCTTCACAATGGTTTTTTTCCCTGTAAGAACTATGCAAGGGGATTGATTCCCGTGGGTCGTCAGCTGTGCTGCACCGAGCAACATTTGCAAGGGCTTTTGAGCTGAAAGACAAACTGACCAAACCCTTGGGTTGGGTGCCAGCCTCTCCAAAATCTCCAGTCTTAGTTCAGGACGGGAATCAAAACTACAATAGCTTCGGTTCTGGTTTTGTAGAAACCTCTGGAAAATAGCTTATTTTGCGGGGGTTTTGCTTTCTGGATCCCAAACCTTGCAAAAATGCTTTGACTTCTGAGCCTTGTCCTGGGATGCTGATGCTCGAGCTCCAGGGATCTCCTGTGGTCCCTTTCCTGATGCCGGGGCCATGCTCGTGCGTGGGCTCCCCTTGGCGAGGGCGATGCTGTTCCCAGGAGCTTCTGCAGCTCGAGGCAGGGCCGGTGGGGATGCCCCCACCACACTGTGCAACCTGGGCAGGTTGGGGTTTCAGTCTCCAAAGCGTCGTCCCAGCCCTGGCTGTGGATCTCAGCCCTGCTTTGCTTTCTGCAGCAAGTGAAGCTGGAGGAGTTCGGGAGGCCAAAGATCGATGGCGAGCTGAAGGTCCGCTCCATAGTCAACCACACCAAGCAGGACAGGTGAGCGAGCAACAGTGCTCAGAAGTTTCCCCAAACTAAAGGTGCCTTTGTTTGGCGATTCCCCTTGTGCTCATTTATTCAGCGGTTGCCTAGAGTTGCACTGACAGAACTCACCATCAATGTGAAATTATAGCACGGTTAGAGCATTGAGCTGCGCTGGCTGGGCAGCTCTGCAGAGCTTTCCAAATACTTCCCGTTGAATGGGGACCTTAATGAGGTGTGTGACTGGGTTGCTTGTTTATGTGCTTGCTTTGGGCAGGTATTTATTTTTATTTGATAAAGTGGTGATCGTCTGCAAAAGGAAAGGATACAATTATGAGCTGAAAGAAATTATTGAGCTACTCTTCCACAAGATGACTGACGACCCTATGAACAACAAGGACATTAAGAAGGTAGGTGGACCGGGGATTAGCTCTGCTGGAGAGCATTTTGGAGCTGTTTTGGCCAGTCCTTGGGTAGTACGTTCCCATTAGCCTTTTAAAATAGAAACAGAGCTTGCAAAAAGCTGGAAAATAAACGCTCAACTTTCAGGGCAGCCTTACAGAGAGTTGGGAAATGTTTATTAATGTGGGGCTGGGCTTGATCCTTGACCTCCGTCCTTGCAAAACAGCCCTGAAGAAGCTGGGATGATTGGAGTTAGGAGAGAGGAAACTGCTCCCTGCTTTCCGGCCCGCGGGCTGCGAGGGACCGGCAAGGAGCAAACATCAGATGGGGCGGAGAGGAGGGCAGGGAGGGAAGGTCCATCCGGATGCTCTCGCTCCCGCGAGTCGTGGGGTGGAGGAGCCTGGACAGGCAGCA